GCCTGTGGTCCCAGCTACTTGGGAGGCAGAGGCAGGAGACTCGCTTGAGCCCAGGAGTTGGAGGTTGCTATGAGCTGTAATGCCACGGCACTCTACTCAGGGGGGACAGCTTGAGGCTCTGTCTCAAAAAAAAAAATAGAATTCTATGTAGGGCCAACATTATTACAGGTCTGTGTCTATTAAGGTGGTACCTAGATCCAAAACACAATCATTTGTTTTTCCACTGTGTTTTATGAAAGTCAGTTATTCAGGTGAGACAACAATTATTAACTTCAACATGTGAGGTTATTTTAACTATGCTAATAAGATCCTAGCATATTGGTATACATTAAAATTAAATAACAGGCCAGTAACATGGACAGCCATCACAAAAGTCTAAATAGAGAAAATGGAAAAGGTACTACCTTCTCATAGAAATCCAAAATAAAGTGCAGCAAGAAAGTACTGTTGCTCTCCAAGCGCATTGCAATAGTCGACAGCCATCCTACATAGTCAATCAGTTTAGACAAAGAGCTCATGGATTCACACAAAGTTGTATTACTGCAATAAACAAACATAACAATCAGATCCAGAGTAGCAAACTTGCTCACAATTTCTTTTCTTTTTTTTTTTTTTTTTTTAAAGTTTTGGGCTGGGGCTGGTTGAACCCACCACCTCTGCACCTCTGGTATATGGAGACGGCGCACCACAGGCATGACCCACCTGCTCACAATTTCCAAGCTAAAGCTGAATAATACAGAGCAAACAATTGATAGAAATTTTGAAAACTATCAGTGATCCATGTATATGGTAATTCACCATTTTAAAAAATCATACTTTGGAAGGCTGAGGCAGAAAGATTGCTTGAGCTCAGGAGTTTGAGAACAGCCTGAGCAAGACTGAGACCCTAACTCTAAAAATAGTGTTGTGGTGAGGGCCAGTAGCACCAGCTACTTGGGAGGCTGAGGCAAGAGGATCATTTGAGCCCAAGAATTTCAGGTTGCTGTGAACTATGACGCCATAGCACTCTATCAAGGGTGACAAAGTGAGATTCTGTCTAGAAATAAGTAAAAATTAAAACGGACAATAAACTAGAAAAAATGAGAACTAATTAATCTCCACCAAAACACAAGTGGTTTAAAAGAATAAACATTAAAATGTCTGTAGGGAGTGGCACCTGTGGCTCAGTGGGTAGGGCGCCAGTCCCATATACGAGGGTGGCAGGCTCAAACCTGGCCCGGGGCCAAATGGCAACAAAAAAAAAAATGGTCCAGGCTCGGCACCTATAGCTCAACCGGCTAAGGCGCCAGCCACGTACACCTAAG